ACGTCGGCAGCAAAGGCAACGTATCCAAGCTCAAGACGAGACTTTTTGATTTTTGTCTAAATAGAGAACCTAGCTTACCTTAGCCAAATCACGAGCCTTCTGATTTTCAAACTCTGTCCTGCCGGTGAAAGCATGGAAAACAATTATGGCTGGAGTGGCCTTCTTTGGAAAGATTGATCTGAAGTGTTCTTATTAATCCATATTGAAGATATGTCCAAAGATTGAGCTACTTATGGTAAACGAGAAGTCCTTGCAGAACAGTTCCATTATAAGCGCCATATTCTACAAGTTTTTCCTCATATGGGCCCTTTCTGAATATGAGAATATGAATTTTTGTAAAAAAGGAGGAAATGGAAAATACTTACGGTGTTGGAAGTAATGGAGGTGCAGCCATAGTTACAGTAATACACCAGAGGGAAATGGCTTTGAACGGGAGCGAATGCATCTGCATATAGTTGTTTTGACTAGGTCGCACAACGAAATTCCGTTTAGCTGGGTAACGAGTGGGATTATGGAAATCAGATGGTCTTTTTTTTCATTCTTCATGATTCTATGCCACTGAGGTACAGGGTGCACTAAAGATGACACTGTTTGATGGTTAGAATTCATCTTTAATCTCAACTTTCAGTTTCCATTAAGTAGAGCTAACGATGATTTGGATTTACAATAAGGCAAGTGCAGACTTACCCGTTTCAACCGGCTCATCTGGTCAGCTTATTCGCTATTGGTCAATTCAAGTATTTGACCAATACGAATGGATGAACTAGAAGAACCGGTTAAACCGGATAAGTCTGGCACCTACCTAAAAGCGGATTGCCGGTTGCTCTACATTACTACATGATTAAGACAGGAATTTTCACGTAGGCGTCATTCTAATCAGCCGTATTTTCTAAATTCTTCAAAAAATCGACGATTTGTGAACCAGGATTTTCACGCGCTGATTTTATTACTCAGTTATTTATGAGTTCGTAAAGCTCTTCACATGGTAATTACAATTTTAGGGAGCATTGTAAAAACAGTATGGCAGTTCATTTGATATCTATATATATAAAACTCAAAGTTTGTTTGTT